AGAACAGCCAAGGCTTGTCACACTGAGAAACCCTGTCTTGAAACACCCTCTTCCAAAAAAAAAAAAAGAAAGGAAAGAAGGAAGGAAGGAGAACAAAACACTGACTGATTTACTTGTGTATGTGTATGGTCATGCATGAACACAGAAGAAATGCAGAGGTTAGAGGACAACTTTCAGGAGTCTGTTCTCTCCCTTTACCAAAAAGGTCTTGGGATGGAACTCACGTTGCAGGCTTGGTGGCAGGCTCTAACGTACAGATCGATCTTGTTAGCCCTGAGGTCATGGCTGGGGCCGTTCTTGTTCTTGTCTGAAGACTTATTTTTTATTTTATGTGTATGTCTGTGTACCATGTGCACGCAGTGCCCAGAAGGCCAAAAGAGGGTGTTCGTTCCCTGGGGACTACAGCTACAGAGAGTTGTACACTTCCATGTGGGTGCTGGGAATCAAACCCAGGACCACTGGAGAGCAGAGCAGCCAGTGTGCTCTTAACCACTGACCCAGCCCTGAGGTCATTATTATACAGAGAAAACACAGTTTAACCCAAATTAGTAGCAAAGACAAGATACCAGGACACATTCCTTTACTGAAGAATCTTCAGACATTCCAGTTGAAAGCCTTTCTTTCCCCCTTGCTTTTTGTGTTTGGAGCTGCATTTCCTTCAGCTCATCTCAACAAGGAGTAACAGTGAGGACCAGGTCTAGCCAGTAGGTCTGAACCTAATTTCCCTTTCCTCCCACTGCAGTTCCAAAGACTCCTCAAATGAGACTTGCAACTCTTAGCTGATTAACTCTAACATACTCTAACTGGACCAGCAGTGATCCCAAGAACTAGACCAAAGTAAAGAGAGAGTCTCCTGTCTAAGGCAGAAACCAGCAGGAGGCACAGCCTACACTAAGCTGATGCCCAGCGCTGAGTCAGCAAAGGGTCTTCCCATCTAGAATCACTAGAGACAGTGAGTGTGGGTGGGACAGCAGGGTCTCACCAAGAGACAATCAAGTGTCCCTGAAAGCACTTTTCCCATTCTACAAACAGGCATTCACCAGAGCATCTTTCTGTGATTCGTGGGGGCAGGTAACACTGACCTTTCTGCTCTGGAAGACTCTTGCCCTACAAATGCAGTTGGTACCAGGCTCCCAGCCTGGCTAAACCACACAGGCGTTTGCTCCCAGATTGTCACCCCCAGGTCCTGATATGTGGTGTGCCTTGGGGTGTGCAGAGTCTTGTGAGGCAGTGAGGGGGGCTCAACAGGCAGGAGGGCTTCAGAAGGCTGTTTTCTGCAGAAACCATGGATTTTGCCATACCCACTACAAGATTAGCCGTGCCAGGAGACCCACACTTCTTGTAAGGTACTAAACACAAGGCTCTTCCCAGGATAGCTGCGAAATACTAAAACCAAAGTTGCCAGAACAGTGACCCTTCTAGAAAGCACTAAACAATGCATTTACTGTGAGAAATTACATGTCCTTACTAAAATCCTTCAGACTCTTCACAGAACTTGACATGGAGTGCTTGTTGACTGTGCAAGTGAATTTCAGCAAGTTTTAAGCCTTGCACTGTCTTCCACTCTTCCAGAATACTCCTGTCCCAATCCAATCTTCACATAAAAGAAAAATTCTCACATTGAAAAATCAGATTATGGGGCTGGAGCGATGGCCCAGTGATTAAGAGCGCTGTCTGCTCTTCCCAAGGTCATGAGTTCAATTCCCAGCAACCACATGGTGGCTCACAACCATCTATAATGTGAACTGATTCCCTCTTCTGGCAGGTGTAAATGCAGATAGACTACTCATACACATTAAATAAATAAATAAACAAACAAACAAATAAATAAATAAATAAATGAAAGATCAGATCATTTTTCTTTTTCTCTTTTTTGTTGTTCTGTTTTTTCGAGACAGGGTTTCTCTATGTAGTCTTGGCTGGCCTACACTTGTTTTATAGACCACACTGGCCTCGAACTCACAGAGACCAGTCTGCCTCTGCCTCCCGGAGCCCTGGGGTTAAAGGCGTGCTAATTCAGATCATTTTTCTTTAAGCCTTCCACAGTGACAGCAAAAAAGCCACCCCCTAGTGACCACCTGCACTGGTGAATAGTGTTTCACACATGTGGAAAGAGGAGGGGCAGCTAGGCAGCTGGAAAGGGCAGCACCAAGCTTTGGCGGAACTCCTTTCCCCATGCGCTCTCCTGCTTCCCTTCCTCTAGGGAAAGCTCCATGACACCTCCCATCACTTTCTCCGACACTCAGCACAAGGTACACTCCTTGTTTTCTGAGACAGGGTCTATGCGGATCAGACTGGGTAAGTCTCCAGCGCTAGGTCACAGGCAAAATCCACAACCCTCAGCTCTAACACTTTTTTTTAAAAAAGCGATGGTTCGGGTCTAGAATGTTCTCCAGAGAACTCATTGTTGAAGGGTTGGTTTCCAGATGGTGGGTCTATTTTGGGTTGGAAAGGGGGTGACTGGGTTATTTCTGTAGCTCTGGCCGTCTTGGAAGTGGATAGACTAGGTTGGCCTTGAACTCAGAGCAGCCTGCCTCTGCCTCTGAGTACTGGGACTAAAGGTGTGCTGTTAAGAAGGGCCTGAATCAAGGACAAACCCTGCTCTACTACTGAGTTCATAGCTAAATGGGCTATTAGGGGGTGGAGCCTAAAAGTAGGAAATAGTCACCACCTTCAAAGGGTGTATTTTTGTCCTGTCCCTTCTTCCACTCACCTCTTCAGTTTCCTGGCTGCCCTTAGGTAAACAACTTCTGCTACCATAAACTTCAGCCTCAAGTCCAGAGCAGGCAAACATGAAACCAGGAGCCCTTTAGTTGACTATCTCAAGTACTGTCCTAACAGTGTCACAGATAACAAACACGGCCTCTCATACACAATCAGTCTTCTGAACAGCCTGCCACGAACACCACAAGCACCAGGTGGTGGCCTGGTCAAGGGGAATATGGCGGGCTCACAACCTGTTCTCCCTAAAGGTGCACACATCTTCCTCTTCCTGAAGCTATCCCCACTGCTTGATGTAAGATTCTGCACATCTCCAAGACAATCAAAATAGGAGTTTTTTTTTCTTAAAAAAAAAAAAAAAAAAAAAGATTTATTATGTATACAGTGTTTTGCCTGCACGTGTGCCTGCATGGCAGAAGAGGGCACCAGATCTCACTGCAGATGATTGTGAGACATCATGTATTGCTGGGAATTGAACTCAGGACTTCTGGAAGAGCAGCCAGTGCTCTTAACCTCTGAGCCATCTCTCCAGCCCTCAACTAGGTTTTGTCGACTGAACGGCATAAGGAACTGAGGGGAAATATGGACAGCAGAACCTGGAAACAGTTAGCAACCTGTGATACGTTGGACAACCCAGCAGACTCCACACAGTTTACCAGAGGGAAGATCTGCGAAAGCCTTATTTACAAACAGTTGAGAAAACAATTGAATAGTGTTAATGACCCTTTTATAGGGCGTCACCGAAGAACATCGGAAAACACAGATATCTGCATTACGATTCATTAACAGTAGCAAAATTGTAGTTATGAAGTAGTAACAAAAATAATTTTATGGCCTACACGGCTGTCAGCCTTTCATTCTCAACAGCCACATCCACCTTGGCATTGCTTTGGGGACTGTGACCCTGACATAGTACAGACGTATTAACCTATATAACTGATGTCTGTACAAGCTTAAACATGAAACTATGAGGAAGTGTAAAGTAAAAAAAAAAAAAAAAAAAGGCATACCATGGAGTGTCTGGAAAACACCACTGAGCTTTGTAAGAAAACATGCTACTAGGTCACCCAAATTCCTCACTAATGTGTCTTTTAAAATGATGTACCCCCTAGCTTGGTCCCCAGGAGGCCTTTCCGGAGGCAGAAGCCTGCTCTTGACCTGGCCAGTAATAAAAAGACTCAAAACTTTCAAATGGCTTAATCTTTGTGTCAATAACTACCTCCCAAGGTAGCATTTCATGACCCAGAAGGCAGGTAACAACAGGAGCTGTTAAACTGGAGGGAGACTGCTGAGATTAGAGGGAGTACAAAAGCATGGCGACGAAAGTGTTTACTAGACCCAGATGGGGAAGGAAGGATTAGCATCCGCTGGGCAGATCGATGTCTGGGAGAATAGCAGGGAATTCACAAGCACGTATAGGTGCGGTGACCTGAGTTACCACTCCTTCAAGCTACAAACTGAAGTCATAAAAGCTAGAAACGGCTACCAATGTTTAAGAGTCTATTGAGTCTGGATGTCTCTCACTTAAGACTCCAGGACATCCATCAGGGAACGCCGATGCACCCTCTGGCACTGTTTTTCTGAGTTGCCCAAGGCCAGCTCGGCCAGCACTGGCACTGTGGTCTTGGAAAAGTCACCCTACCTTCTCACAGGCTCCAGCTTCCCGTTTGTGAAAAGGATGTAAGATTAAACAACACCGGGGTGCCTGGGGAACCAGCTACTCAAGAGGCGGAGGCAGGAGGATGGATTGAGTTCAGGAGTTCGAAAGCAGCCTGGGCAACCCGGAGGCAGCCAGCTTCTAACAGAAACAAGAAGACAAGCGGAAAAAAAAAAAAAATTACTGACACTACAGTGAAAGGAACAAGGCACCAGGCACAAGAAAGCTCTTAGCCTCTCAGCGGGTCGGGGTTAAGCACCGAGGCATCAGGAAACCAGCAGCATCGGGCGTGTACAGCCCCGGGCTGGGGTCTCGTCCGCTCAACTTCCGAACTCCAAGGGCCCAAGACCGAGTAGAGGCGGCGCCACCGGGGTCCCCCGAACCCAGTCCCCCGGGAGGAAAGCCTGCCTGCGGCCGGGCCTCCCGGGCTCAGCAGCCAGTGGGTTGGCGAGCGGCTGGGCCCGCGAAGCCCGGCCAATAAGGAACGCGGCGGACGCAGGGGGCGGGCACAAGCGGCTTCGGGCGTCGCGCTCGGGGCTGCTCCCTCCTCCGTGCCCGAACCCCAAGAAGCGGCGATTCCCCCCCCACACACGAGCCCCGACTAGAGGAAAAGGCCGCTCACCGTCCCTTGGTCGTCGTTCCGCGCTTCCGGATGAGCTCGTCCAGAGAGATGTCGGCCATCTTGCGCCGCCGAGCTAGCGGAGAGCTGAGGAGACGCCTTCAGCAGCGAGCCCGCCCCCTGGCCGGAGCGACGAACAGCTTCCGACACCCGGACAACCAAGTCTCGCGACAGCTCGAAGGAGGCTCGGAACGGAAGGGGTGGGGCGGCTACCCGAGAGCCTTTGCGGTGCCTGCTGCTAATCTGCATAAGGCGGCACGGAGGGTAGCGGGTTCTTTTTTCTCCTGCTTTTGCAAGTGAGGAGTTAAAGTGATGTAAATCGGAAAGCGCTAGAAAAACCTTCAGGGAAACAAGCCTGTGGTTCGGCCAGGCGAGCGGAAACTCACCGTACTTGAAATACGACTGCAATTCCTTACCCCTGAGGACCGGGCGCTGCCTCCTCATGCCTTAAACTTATGAGTAAGGAAAATAACGATTCGGGGTGACGCCTGAGTCCTCACTGCTTATGTGAGACGAATTTTTGAGCGGGTAAAGGTCGCCCCCTGAGGCGACCCGCCTACTTTGCGGGATGCCTGGGCGAGGTGGCCTGCCCGACCCCCAAATGCTGCTAAAGGAAAGTGCGAAGCTGGTTACCTGACGGGCCTTGGGGAGACCCTGTGAGCTGCCGTGCGGGTGCTGGCGTTTGAACCCGGGTCCTTAGCTCACTACAAGCCTGCGCGAATGGGAACGTGAACTCCGGCAGACGCTGAACTACGTATATATCCTACCAGGCCTGGAACTCCTGTGCCTCGCGTTTCTAAGCGCTTATTTCTGACCTGACCGTTCCCTGCCTCAACTGCCCGTGTTGTAAGGTTGTGCTCAGTTTCTGATGAGGGTGCTTAGTGTTGATGAGAGAGCTGAAGGATCCCTAACTAGGCACCTCTCTGTCTTCTGACAAACGAGGCAAATACAGGTGGTTGGGAGGGATTTGTTAGGGTTCGGACTGTGGGGATAGTTTCTCACTGATGCAAGAGGACTTCTTCAAGCTGGCCTGACGTGAGATGTGTTTGATAATTATGGAAAACACAGATCTGGGAATATAGCTCAGACGCAGAGCAGAAACTCCAGCACCACGAAATTACAAAAGCCTCTGAAAAAACAAAACAAACAAACAAACAAAAAACAGAATCTGGACAGATTGCTCAGTGGTTAAGAGCACTTGTGGATATTACAAAGGACCTGGGTTTGGTTACTGGCATCGACAAGGAGGCTCAGAGGGTCTGTAGCTCCTGTTCCAGGGGATCTGAGGGCATCCAGATATATATGCATATACATACATATATGTATATAGGTATACATACATACATGCAGGCAAAACACTCATATACATAAAAATATTTTTCAAAAATAAAAACATGGTGCTTTTGGATGAGATGGTCATGTTTCCTTGAAAACTTACGTTCTATGAAGGGAAGGTCATTAATAAGAGACAAGAAGCAGTTTGGCTCAGGAATTCCAGACTGCACGTTTGAAATGCTCTATGACTAAAGCCTTGGAAAAGTTGGAACTTTGATGAACCTAGATTGCTGCCTTCTCACCACCAGACTGAACAGCAGTGACTGGATAGCAGGTGCATTGCCCCGTCAGCCATATATATATATATATATATATATATATATATATATATAT